AGGCACCTGGCCATGGTCCGGCACCTGGCCATGGTCCGGCACCTGGCCATGGTCCGGCACCTGGCCATGGTCCGGCACCTGGCCATGGTCCGGCACCTGGCCATGGTCCGGCACCTGGCCATGGTCCGGCACCTGGCCATGGTCCGGCTCCTGGCCATGGTCCGGCTCCTGGCCATGGTCCGGCTCCTGGCCATGGTCCGGCTCCTGGCCATGGTCCAGCTCCTGGCCATGGTCCAGCTCCTGGCCATGGTCCGGCTCCTGGCCATGGTCCGGCTCCTGGCCATGGTCCGGCTCCTGGCCATGGTCCGGCTCCTGACCATGGTCCAGCTCCTGGCCATGGTCCAGCTCCTGGCCATGGTCCGGCACCTGACGGTTCAGCACCCGGGCATGGGCCAGAAGCTGGGCGTGGGCATGGGTCGGAGCCAGAACATGGACATGATTTCGAGCCAGGGCATGAGAACGCACACGGTCTTGAACCTCCTCCTGAACATGACCCGGGGCACGCAGCATCCCCAGGGCACGCGCCAGTCCCCTCGGAGGGCGCGGAGTTCCATCCCCTGCACGAGTTCTCGCACGCCGAGCCGGTGGCGAGACTCGACAACTATCTCCCGCAACAAGAAGATAATTTCTATCCTGGTCAGCCCTTCCATCCTCCTTCAAAAGAGTCCCGATATCCTTCTGTCGTCGTCTACAGTCCCTTCCCGAAGAGAGATGGTCCTTCCGAGCGCGTGTTCCTCCCCTTCCCTATGGACTACGATCTCTCAGACAATAGCTTCCCTCCCCCGATGTTCCCGCCTGCACACGCCCACGCCGTCCACAAGAGGGCAGCCGAAAACGCCTCCAAGATGAAGGACCTCCTCCTCGCGGCCGTCTCCCAGGTGGACACCGTCGGTTGCGCTCCCAAGATCCTGTGCTACCTGCAGACGAAGAGCTCGAGCGAGTGGACGTTTGAGGAAAAGGCTTTACTCACCATGTTCGCCAACGCGACTTCCAAAACCGCTAACGCCAGCAGCGCCCCCTTCGTAGAGGCCGTCGAACTCGGAACCGGTTCACAAGACCCTGTGGCGTGTAACCTGGCCTACCCCAAGTGCACGCCCGAGGGGGAAGACCTCAGGAAGCTTCTCAAGATGGCGGGAGGCTGTGGGAACACTATCATTTAGTTTTTAAGTTTCCATAATGTTCGACTTACTCAGGGCTTTAATTCTCCGTTGTTACCATCATGATCATCGATATTATTATCATATACAATCCTCTGTCTATCTACCTAGTTATGTACACGTCTTTGTAAGTGTGTGTACTTATATATAAACACATACACACACACACAACGAAGATCCAATAATCAAAATAATCACAAATAGAGCGCTAATACCATAAGGAGTACTGTACCCCTTCGGTCACCAACTCACATTCACGCATAAGCACATATAAGGAGAGTTAGCTATTTCTTAATCTATTCGCTCATCCGTTTCATTTTTATATACGTTTTGGCATTAGCTACATGAGCAACTGTTTTTATGTAATGTCATGTCATTATTTATTTATGTGGGATATACTGTACATTTTACAATACTTCAATAAAAAAATAAAATAAAATAAAATAACAAAATAGAAAAAAGCTTACTTCCCTGTATCACTGAAAATTACAATAGGAAAAAGGAAAATGAACACGGAAAAAATACAGAAAGAGGGAAAGAAGTGAGGAAGAAGGGAAGGAAAAAGAGGAAAGGAGGGGGGGGGGAGAAAGGTAGTGTTGTGGCCTACACTGCTTCTTCTTTTTCTTTACTTATTCCTTTTTTATTTCTTCCTCCTCTTCTCCTTCCTCTTCTTCTTCTTTTTCTTCCTCCTCCTTTTCTCCTTGTTCTTCTTCTTTTTTCTCCTTCTTCATTCTTCTTCTTCTTATTATTATTATTAGTCTTCTTCTTTTTCTCCTTCTTTTTTTTTCTCAAGTCGCAGATGCTATAGAGAAGAATAGAAATAATAATGATAGTAATAATATTAATAAGAAGAAGGAGAAAGAAGAATGAGAAGAAAATATTTAGAGGAAACAAGAAGAAGAAGAAGAAGAAGAGAAAGATCTTTATATTTCTCAGAATACGTCTTCAGTCGTCCTGATAACACGACGCTAAAAGGAGATTGCATTTTTTGTGTATCTGTGTCTGTCTGTCTGTGTTTATGTGTATATATGTGTTCATGTAGTGTGTGTATGTGTGTGTGTGTGTGTGTGTGTGTGTGTGTGTGTGTGTGTGTGTGTGTGTGTGTGTGTGTGTGTGTGTGTATGTGTGTGTGTGTGTGTGTGTGTGTGTGTGTGTGTGTGTGTGTGTGTGTGTGTGTGTGTGTGTGTGTGTGTGTGTGTGTGTATGTTTGTGTATGTGTGTGTGTGTGTGTGTGTGTGTGTGTGTGTGTGTGTGTGTGTGTGTGTGCAAAGGAAAATTCTGTCTGTATGTGGGTGCGTTTGGGGCTTTTGTATCTACTTGCCAGTGAGTCTTCTTCTCATACTCTTTATCCTTGTATTTCCAACGTCTCTTTTGAATACAAACAATTAAAATAATAACGCACATTATAAATATTAATGATATTAATAATCACAGTAATGGTGATGGTGGTATTGATAGTAATAGCGACAATGATAACATTCCTAATAATCATAGTAATAAAATCAATGATAGTAATGATAATAATAACTGATAACAATACGGATGATAATTAATATTGGTCATAATGATAGTGGAAATGATAATTACAACATTAATGATAATACTAATACTAATATAAATGCTAACGCTAATACTAGTACTAATACCAATCATAATACTAATACTAACAATAGTACCAATACTAATACTGATACTAACAAGACTAATGGTGATGATGATAATAACAATATAGATGATAATAATTTTGATGATGATAATAGTACTAATGATGCTAATGATAATAACGATGACAATAATAATAAGACCAATAATGGAAATAGTAATAGCAATATTCATAATAATACAGTAATGATAATAATGATAATATAAAAGATGATACTACAAAATGAAAATAAATATGCAATAACAACATTAATAACGATCATCCAGGTATGACAAGGAAACAAAAAAACAAAAACAAAACAAAAAAACATGATCAATTGTTCATATAAATTTATCAACAAGTTTCACCAGGGAAGCTGAGCCAGGAATGAGATGCTGAGATGACATACATTATCATCTGGTCTTGCGTAATGAACTATATATGCATCAGAGAGAGAGTCAGCATATTTAATAATGACACGAGTACAGTTCCTTCATATATTGACATATATCGAGGTTATAAACCATAATGTAATAATGATTACGCTAAAAATCATAATAATGATGATACTAATGATAATGATTTGATGGTAAACATGATGAAAATAACAGTGATAACTGAAATGGATTCGTAATAGTAATAATAGTAATAGGAATACTGCAACTGTCACTGTTACTCTAATGAGCAATGATAATATTAGTAACTACATTAGTAATAATGATTACGATAGCTTTAACAGCAGAATAACAACTCAACTACAAAAATAACAAAAATAATAATGATGATAATGATAATAGTAACAACAACAACAACTACAACAACAACAACAATAATAATAGTAATAGTAATAATAATAATAATTACAACAATAATAATGGTAATGGCAATGATGACGATGATACTAGTGATTATAATAATAATAAGGAATACAATCAGCTAAGATAATAACCGAAATAATAATATTAATAATTTAAAAAATATGAAGATAATAATGACAACAATAATGACAATTACAGTTGTAATAGCAAAAATAATATTGACAATGATAATGCTAATAATGATGACGATAATAATTATGATGGTGATAATAATGATAATGATTATGATAATAATAACAGCAAAAACAACAACAATAATGATATAAATATTACAACTACTCCTAATGATAATAACCGATATGGTAACAGTAGTGAAAATAATAGAGATTATGATGGCAATAAACGAAGAAATCATTATTAATAACAATACTGATGATAAAAACTATAATGACTATTACAATCACTCCGGATGGCATCAGGATAGCCTATTTGAATACAAAAACGTCTTCTTGTAATGATGAGTGGAGACAAACTTAGCAAACTATTATTAAGTCGTGAAGGAATAGATTCGCTCTTTTCTAAACAAAATGCATATATATATATATATATATATATATATATATATATATATATATATATATATATATACACACACATATATATATATATATATATATATATATATATATATATATATATATATATATATACATATATATATATATATATATATATATATATATATATATATATATATATATATATATATATATATATATATATATATATATATATATATATATATATATATATATATATATATATATATATATATATATATTCCTTAAAAGGACTGCAAGACTCCACGTTTTCTCTTCTTCAGCTGTTCAGGGAATACTTGAAACTGCATCTTTGTCAATCTAGGTCTAAGTCTTTCGCTTGTATTTGGCATTGCTCCTTGCATAGCCGTGTTGCCAAGCGGAAGAGTGGCGTGGGGTGTGACCTTCCCCTGCTATTGGGGTTTTCCTCTGTTGATCATAGAGGTTTAGGTGTGTGTGAGTGATGACTATTAGTACTGAAAAGCTGGTAATTTTGGTATGTAAGTAAGCACATATAGCCGTTATGTAAAAAT